CCAGACCAGAGATTCCGACATTATACTCCAAACGATGGAGCAACACTTCGTGGTCCACAGTGTCGAACGCAGCTGTAAGGTCCAACAAAACAAGTTTACATTTATTTATGTAATTCATCGTAGACCGAGAGACCATCTAAGGACTCGTGAATCCCTTTTTTGTAATTTTTGGAGTTTCACCTGTAGTCACCTTGGTTTTACATCTGTTTGTGAGAAGCAAAGGCAGCTGCTTGGAGACTTCAACTCAACGTTTACTTCACAGAAACTCAAACTGCGATAATTGGTGTTCATTTTTCACCACGTAAACCTTCTGAACTGAATCCACACCATCAGAATTAAGTAGCTCTCATTTTTCTATCATTTTTAATGACATTTAGGCACACATTTGCAAATTTACCACACATCATCTGCATTCTGCCTTTTTATTAATGATTTAAAAATAATGACAATAATGTGTGCATGCTTTGGTAATTGGATTTAATCAGAAAACAGTTGTGGTTTTTAAATGTTATTTTTAATTTAAATATCAAACGTTAAATTGAAATAACGAGAGTTTTGGTTTGAATATTTCTTTCATTTATACTTACGCTTATTATTAATATTATTATTATTACAGCTACTACTGCTACTGGCAAACATAAAATGGCCCATTTCCTAAAATGTTTGTCATCAAAGATAAAAAAGATTTATTTGGAAAAGACTTCTTACATTAATAGCATTGCTGCAAATGCACCAGAGTTAGACTAAAGCTATTTTTATCTGCACTGTCTAAACATCAGCACCATCCATCCGTTTTCAGACGTTTATCCGGAGTCAGGTTGGGGGGGCAGCAGCCCAAGTTATGAGGCCCAGACTTCCCTCTCCCCAGCTACTTGGACCAGCTACTCCGGGGTAATCCCAAGGCGGTCCCTGGATATTCCCTTGGGTCTCCTGCCAGTTGGACGTGCCTGGAAGACCTCACCAGGGAGGCCTCTTGACCAGATGCCCGAGTCACCTCTACTGGCTCCTCTTGATGTGGAGGAGCAGCGGGTCTACTCCGAGCCCCTCCCAGGTGACCGAGCTTCTTACCTTATCTCCAAGGGAGAGCCCGGCCAACCTGCAGAGAAAACTAATTTCAGCCACTTGTATCTGCGATCTCGTTCAAGCTCGTGACCATAGGGGAGGGCAGGAGCGTAGATCGACTGGTAAACTGAAATTTTGCTTTGCCTTCCAGCTCAGCTCTCTCTTCACCACGACAAATCGGTACAACGCCTGCATCACTGCAGACACAGCAACAATCCGCCTATCGATCTTGTGCTCCATCTTTCCCTCATGCGTGAGCAAGACCCTGAGACACTTAAACTCCTCTACTACCATCTACGCCCACTTTCTGCCATAAATGGTTAATGCAAAGTGCCTTGTGGATCTCATCCATATACATAAGCCGGCTTGTTGCAGCATTTCACCATTAACGATGGTCAACACAGATCAAGGAAGCGCTATTTCACCGAAGCAAAAATTGAGGAACTTGTGGGTGAAGTGGAAAAATGAAAGGAAGTGCTTTTGCAAAACAAATAAGAGAAAATCTACAGAGTGGCACAGCGTTGCTGAAGCTATCAATGCTGTGTGTTCATCAGAGATCTGTGGCGGATAGTAAAAAAAAAAAAAGGTCCAATCAGGATTCGATACACAGACTCCCAGGTGAGAGTCACATGCGCTAACCAGTCAGCCAAAGGGACATCTCTCTTGACCAAGTAGCCAGGGCGCATGATCAATCGGGTCACGGGGACAGGACGCTCACACTGTCACAGACGCATGACATTCTGTCTCAATCTGCCCCCTGCTGATATTCAGCATTCTGTATACTGCAACGGGTCCTGAGAAATGTCGCTAAGTTTGTCGCTAGGCGCTTTTTGGAAAAAAAGTCGTTGAGGGGGGTCAAAAAGTCATTAGAAACAGCGACAAATTCGCTGAGTTGGCAACACTGCTGACTTCTAGTTCCTGGAAATGGTGCATCAGTGTTTTTTGCCCCCTGAGTATGACTTACAAAACATTCATTCCTACTAGACCTCTGTAAATGTATTGATTAAATGAGTGTTCCACACCTTTAACAGATTTATGCTAAAATCCACCAAATCGGGTGTGTTGGAGCAGGGAAACCACAAAAACATGCTGGATAATGGCTGTCCAGGGCTGGATCACGATTGGCAAACAAGGATGGTTCATCTTTGGGACAATAAAAATCAGACCGACTTAGAAGAAAACAAAAAATAAATAAACATTGAACTATAATGTGAAATTATAGTCCTGTGGCTTATTAAGTTAATGAAAATTGAAGTTTGTAGTGCAGCTAAATTAAACTCCAATAAGTTTGTGTCGATTATCTTAACCTCATCAGCCTTGTCATAATAATAACAGAACAGAACACAGCTGAATAAACAGACGAGTTTGAACAAACAGTTTTTCCCTTCAGTCTATTGCAGGACTGTTTGATTAGACTGTATTAGTTTGGGAGTTTTTAATTAACTGACCACCGAGTCATTAAATAAATTAAGTAGCACCCTTCTCACTGTTGGGAAAGCTTTTACAAAGCAAACTCACTAATTGCAGCTATGGACAAGTTTTTCAATAAAAGCCCTGCAAAGATTAGGAGTAAATCAGTTGTTAGCAATGAGTTTTTTCTCAGATTGATCCTTCTAATGTGAGAATAAAAAAACATAGAAAAAACATAATAAATAGGATTTGTGACCAGGAGAGATTAGATTATATAATTCCATTTCACTTTTAGGCATTTAAAGTTGATCAACTGCCGGTTCTTCAAATAAAAAGGAAAAATTTAATTTGTACCAAATCTTATTTGGACATGCAGTGGAATTTCAAGCCACCATGATGTTGGCGGAACAAGATAACAAAAACAGGTTCAAGAAAGCCTCACTTAAAAAACTAAAGTAGCCTAATTAAAGGATATTCATTTTTATTTCATTTTTGACACAAAGGTTAAATACTAACTAGAATTTTCAATTAGGTGGCAAAAAAGTGTAACATTTTTAAATCTTAATGCCGCTTATTAAGGGGCCTCTATAAACAAGAACCTTATGCATTATTGAATAACTGTGAGAATAACAGCACCAGGCCACAGCCTTTTAAAAAAAACAGCTATTTGTAGCCTGACTCCAGGAGAAAACACGAACGTACGGATGGTCACGTTAACCCCACAGCATCAATAACAGCTGACAAACAACAGCGTTTGTCCGTGAATGCCAAAAGCCCCTCGGCCCTCCTGGTTTTTGGGAGCCGAACAACTGTTTGCTGTCGCCGAGGCAGCGCTCACTTCTCCGTGACTACAACCGAGGCAGAAAAGGCTGTTGTGCTTTAGGATGTTTAGCAAAGACCGATGCGGGGACCAATTGGCAGGATTCAGCGAGTAAACATGTTTGGACTCATTTCCATATTTCACCTGGCTGATAAACGCAGCATCACAGTGGTCGTCCATAAACACAGAAACAGCAGAACAGGAAAAAGCATTGTGCCTGCCACACGGCGCTGCTTAAAATGCAAAGCAGCTCGCTCTCACTTGAAACTTGCCCGTAACAAAAAAACAACAACAGTGTTTCTTTTGTGCACAGCAAATCATGGCATGCTTGAGTAGGTAAATTGGGTAAATTGTATTTGACTTTTTTAAGTTGTTGTTGCTGAAAACTGCGTAATTATCTCAAGTCGCTCTTTTATCACAATCAGAAGATCCACTGCCCTCTCTCTTTGTGTTTTCTGACAGCATATTCAGATGAGGTCTGCAATGCAGTCAGTCATGTTTACTGACCAAAGCCGCAGTGTGAAATTCAGAATAATTGCTCTCTACGGCTCCCCTGGCACGCTGTGCTCACTTCAAGCAGGAAGTCCAATTGACAGAAAGGTCCAAAAAGACACGAAGTCCTCTGTTCTTCTGTTCATCTTTAACAAATTCTCATCTGGCTGAGAGGGGGAGCAAAACAGTCAGCAGGCCTATTCATTAGCTTTGATTTTCATGTGTGTGCTGGAGGATAATGCACTATGGGACTGTCTACCTTTGGTCCTGATGGTGCTAAGATACCATTTGTCCAATTTTCTGATAAAATAAGCAAAAAGCTAGTAATATCCTAGAATGGCTGCTGCACCGGCATACGCGGAGCAGCAGATGTGTCGGAGGAGCTCGGCGTGGACACCTCATTAAACCACAGCAGCCCTGAATGTGTGGGGAGGAGCCCTGTGTGTGCGGCTACAGAAGCAGCCCCGTGAAGATGCTTTGCACAGTGCAGAGCCGTGTTTGGGAGGTGGAAGGATAAGGGTATCATTTCTGCTCAGAGATGCTCGCGTGCACTTAAATACGCCTTCACACAAGCCTCCAAAGCAGTCATGTTTCCCTCCGCCAGCATGTCACTGTGAAATTGTTTCATGTTCTTCAGAGCGACTAAATAAAACCAAAAGGCAAACAAATCCTCCTGAGACGCAGAAGTGGAGAGCGTACTTGTGCTGGATACTTTGTAGTTTCCTGTGTCTAATACTTTATATTCACGTTTTTTTTTCAAACTGGCATTTTCTATTTGAGTTTGATCCCAAAACCTTGGTAAGCCTTAATGGGAGGATATCAAACTCTTAAGGGTTTACTGCCATCTATTGGTACAGACCAAAACTGATCAGAACTTGATAATGATTTAACTTCTCTGCTCTTTATGACTTCTTGATTCACAAAACTATTTTTAGACTTTGTGAAATACATTTTTCTTAATGCACCTGTGTTGACCTTTTGTTCTGAAGGCATCTCGAATCACCGTCTCACTCTCATTTCTGCATGCTTGACTGCACCATAATTACCATTTAAATTGGGATAGGAGTGAAGTGACTGAGATTGCTGTTTGCACCTCAGGTTATGAATGTGAGCCTGTCGTTTTTGATTGGACGATCAGGTAAAGCAAGACGAAATCAACTAGTAGTAATAAAAAAAAAAGACATTTGATGAGAAACAACCAGGATAAACACCAAAGTCAATAAAATGAATCACTTTTTATTCATTTTTATATGTATGAGCAAAGAGAACCTTGTATGGTTCAATTACATGAGGTTTACAGATAATTCTCATTTTCTGGAGTCAAAATTACCACCATTAACGTCGATTAAAAAAAATAATAATAAAATACGTTTCCCAGAATCGGATCAAACTGGCAGTAAGTCTGGCGCTGTCGTCTAACTGGCAGAAAAGTAAAACGAGGTCAAAAACATGGTTTGTCTTTCAGACGACCAGAATATCACAGCTACACAGATGGACCTCTGGTGAATAAGAGATCAGAGACTAAATATGGCAGCTGTGAAATCTGTCGACCAATTTTGAAGGAACGATTGAAAAAAATAAATAAATAAAAGACTGAATCTGGCACTGAGAATGGCTCTCCGCTGTCCTTTCGAGTAACCCCTCCATGACAGAAGATGGTTGAGCAGGGTTGGTGGTTTATCCCTTGGGGTCCACGTGGGAGGGGTGGGGTGGTGCCCACTCCTAAAATACTGAAAAAGCATGGACCCCATTAGAAAAGCGGGAGGGTAAAGGAGCAGTACAAGTATCAACTTGCGCATTAAAGTCTTCCCATGAGAATGGAAAATATGCAGAGGTAGAGAACAGACCAGGAAAAGACCACAGACGGGTTTCTGTAACATTTGTGTTACAGTCAGTAAAAGAAAGGTATTTATTAAGGTTGTTGTCATCAGAAATCTTCAGTCTGCCTCCTCATCCTCGGACTCGGACTCTGAAAAAGTGAAAACATCTGTCAGCGTGCGTAAGAAACAGCAAACAATAATGACGCTACAACCTTCTGGACAGACGCGGAGATTCCCACCTTCCTCCGCGTTCTTCAGCCATTCCACAAAGGTCTTCATCTGTTCAAGGAAAACGCTTTTCCCCTTGGACAAGCGAGCTTCGTTGTACCACTTCAGAATTGCCTCCTCACTTAAGACGTCCGCTTTAAAATGTGAAAAATAAATAATAAATACAAATAAAAAAATAACAGAAAGAAAACGGATTCAATAGAACGCCAACAGCACAGATGCCAGACCAGGTGCTTGAAAAGGAAAAAAAAAGATGTCGCCAGGGCTGGTTGATGACATCAATCAAGACAAACTTTGGCTATAATCTCAGGCCATCTGGCATCGGTCATACACGCCTTCATAGCTTCCCACCATAAAACAAACTTTATTTCCTCACAAATGCAAACATGGGCACAGGAACCTTCTGGGCATAATTATCTCACCTTTGTAGAACAGAACAACAATTTTCTGGAAGGCCTTCATGAAGTGGATGTTGTCATAGCAGTATTCCTGGATCTTGAGCAGAAGAGTGAGTTCTGAGAGGCCCTGGGAGGTAAACGCCTTCAGCAGAGGGCTGTATTGCTGAGGATGTGAAACATTTGTTCTATGAAAGATTTGAGTTGATTTCATGCGTTTCTTCTACTCTGCTGGTAGAAATTCTCTGATTTAGCTCATTTCTATTAAGTTAAAGGCAAACTGGATCGTTTCAGAGACATCAGGCTTCTTTAGACACCTTTAAGTGTTTGATGGCTTGCTCGGTGACTAGCTCTTCCTTCTTGTTCCACTCCACTGAGCTCATCACACTGGACCAAATCAGTCCGATCATCGTCTGCTCGGAGATGTTGTTTTTCTTGATTTCCTCTCGGATGTAAGTAATAATCTGCAACACACGTTAGTGACCATTAAGTCAAACGAAAGGCAGCATTTGGAGAATCTTACCTCTGATCAAATCCCGTTGATCACTGCAGCATGAGAACTCTGAGCCGCAATGAGGGAGCTGATAATATTTCTGAGGCTAAGTGGATTTCAGGAACTTTTCAATGATTCACTTCAACCGTTTCACCACCACTCCTCAAGACAAAGGCAGTCAGAGGTCAAGAGGAAAGCAATTTTCATCGCTCGTCTCAGAGGTGTGCTGCATGAAAAGATCTCAGATTAGTAGAAGAAACTTTGGTGACGTACATCTTTGAGGGGGTCCCCACGCGCCATCTGATCCTCAATCTCCTTCTGCAGCTCCTTGCGAGCACCGATGGACTCCTGGTTTTTGGCAAAGTCTGAAAGCTCCTTTAGCCCGGCTTCATTGAAATATTTGGAGAAGTGCTCACTGCTGCGCTTGTTGACAGGAAACAGTTCCTGAAAGAGACATATTTTAAAAACTACTTAGACTGCAAGTCCTGAGATTTTAAAAAATTGTCCTTTTCTGTCTTGTAATACAAATATTCCAAAGTAAAACTACATTTTTTCCCAACCAGGTAAGCGTCACAGATAATTAAAGGTGCATGAAGTAAGACTGGCATCTTGTGGTCAAATTTGGGTACTGCGGTCCATGTATAAGAACAAAAGTGTCTTGCCCCTCTTCTTCACGAGTTTCATGCCAGTTTCCAGTTATGCATCAGTGCCAGAAGATTCTAGATGATGAATTAAGCTGAGTTATACAGAGCTGACTATTTTATTCTAATTCATGGTTAGCATAGTTAGCTAAACGTTAGCCTCTAGCCTTCTTTACCCAATATTAGAGTAAAACTGACCAACGCTCTTTCTACAACCCTGCTGCTATTTTCCGGCTAGTGTTAAATTACAAATGCAGATGCAGGAGCATTTGCAGGAGCAGACTCGGCAACCCCGCAGGCTCAAATATGATTTGCTTTGGAACCAGGAAGTATGTAGGGAGGACAGTTTGTAAACGATCAGCAGCCTACATCACACCCATCTACTTCTGGTATATGGATCCCCTACTGCCAAAACATATGAATGGGGGTCTATGGAGAAATAAAAGTTATTTTCGGAGCCCATTTTATAGAGTGGGGCAAAAAGTATTTAGTCAGCCACCGATTGTGCAAGTTCTCCCACTTAAAATGATGACAGAGGTCAGTAATTTTCATCAGTAGGTACACTTCAACTGTGAGAGACAGACTGTGAAAATAATCCATGAATTCACATGGCAGGATTTTTAAAGAATTTATTTGTAAGTCAGGGTGGAAAATAAGTATTTGGTCAATAACAAAAATTCAACTCAATACTTTGTAACATAACCTTTGTTGGCAATAACAGAGGTCAAACGATTACTATAGGTCTTTACCAGGTTTGCACACACAGTAGCTGGTATTTTTGCCCATTCCTCCATGCAGATCTTCTCGAGAGCAGTGATGTTTTGGGGCTGTCGCCGAGCAACACGGACTTTCAACTCCCTCCACAGATTTTCTATGGGGTTGAGGTCTGGAGACTGGCTAGGCCACTCCAGGACTTTCAACTGCTTCTTACGGAGCCACTCCTTTGTTGCCCGGGCGGTGTGTTTGGGATCATTGTCGTGTTGGAAGACCCAGCCACGTTTCATCTTCAAAGCTCTCACTGATGGAAGGAGGTTTTGGCTCAGAATCTCACGATACATGGCCCCATTCATTCTGTCCTTAACACGGATCAGTCGTCCTGTCCCCTTAGCAGAAAAACAGCCCCAAAGCATGATGTTCCCACCCCCATGCGTCACAGTAGGTATGGTGTTCTTGGGATGCAACTCAGTATTCTTCTTCCTCCAAACACGACGAATTGAGTTCATACCAAAAAGTTCTACTTTGGTTTCATCTGACCACATGCCATTCTCCCAATCCTCTGCTGTATCATCCATGTGCTCTCTGGCAAACTTCAGACGGGCCTGGACATGCACTGGCTTCAGCAGCGGAACACGTCTGGCACTGCAGGATATGATTCCCTGCCGTTGTAGTGTGTTACTGATGGTGACCTTTGTTACTGTGGTCCCAGCTCTCTGCAGGTCATTCACCAGGTCCCCCCGTGTGGTTCTGGGATTCTTGCTCACCGTTCTCATGATCATTTTGACCCCACGGGATGAGATCTTGCGTGGAGCCCCAGATCGAGGGAGATTATCAGTAGTCTTGTATGTCTTCCATTTTCTGATAATTGCTCCCACAGTTGATTTTTTCACACCAAGCTGCTTGCCTATTGTAGATTCACTCTTCCCAGTCTGGTGCAGGTCTACAATTCTTTTCCTGGTGTCCTTCGAAAGCTCTTTGGTCTTGGCCATAGTGGAGTTTGGAGTCTGACTGTTTGAGGCTGTGGACAGGTGTCTTTTATACAGATAATGAGTTCAAACAGGTGCCATTAACAAGGTACCGAGTGGAGGACAGAAAAGCTTCTTAAAAAAGACGTTACAGGTCTGTGAGAGCCAGAGATTTTCCTTGTTTGAAGTGACCAAATACTTATTTTCCACCCTTATTTACAAATTCTTTAAAAATCCTGCCATGTGAATTCATGGATTTTTTTTCACATTCTGTCTCTCACAGTTGAAGTGTACCTATGATGTAAATTACTGACCTCTGTCATCATTTTAAGTGGGAGAACTTGCACAATCGGTGGCTGACTAAATACTTTTTTGCCCCACTGTATGTGCCAAGGATTTCACTTCACATACAATGACTGAATTTTAAAGACATGTTTTGATGCCAAGAAGCCACTTATTTTCTAACGGCAGCATAAGTTACTTGAGGTTTTATGTGAAAGAACATAGAGGACTCCAACTGCTCGTCTCACAAAAACTGAGTCATCAAACCAGACAAGGAGAAGAAAAATGGCTGAATTTAGCAAACTTCACATCCTTCTTCCAGGATGAAAGAAGTAGCATGAAACAAGCATCTCAAATTACTTAACAAAGTAAAAACACACATACTTATTTATCATTTAAATTGAAGTACAGCAAATGCGTAATTCAGGGCACAAGGCAAAGCGGACCAGCCAAAACTTTTATAGTCCCGTTCACTTAAGTCTGATTTATACTGCTCCATCTGCGTTGGTACGGTCACAGGCTATGCCATAATGAGTCAACGTAAAAACTCTGTGTCAGGCCCACAGAGGGAAATGGAGACATGCTCAATTTTTCCACTGTCCATCAAAAGTGATTAGTCAGGATGCCACTTCCTTTAAATTCATCAATCACACCACCTTTCCCCTTAAAAAAAGTTAACGTCTCAAAATAGATCTAGTGGCAGACACGGAGCAGATCAAAGAACGTTTCATGGCAAACCTAATGATATAAACTATACACCCGTGACTGAAGCAGTACAAAGATACACCGTAAACCTTTTATTCCCCCAGTCGGCTGAGAAGGAAATCTGTTTCAATGTATCCTTTCTAGTTGAGAAATTAAATTCATTGTTTTTATTTCACTGTAAAATTCTTACTTATTGCACCTTTAAATGGCTTTGAAGAGATAAAACTGTTGTACCTTCTGGTTGCTTTGGATTCGGTGGAGTGTCTATTACCAAAAACCGGAATAGCATTCGGGCTCTTGAGCAATACAAACTCCTAAACTACTGAAGATGAATGCCCTTCTTTTATCCATCATACATATTCAGAGTGCTCCCACTGGATTGGTAAAGATTTGTATTAAAGACGCCGTCCTCACCATGAGTCGGTTGTCCATGCCAACCTTTCGAAGGCTGCCGGCGACTGAGTTTATGTCCTTCTCGGAAAGCCAGGATTTGAAGAGTTTTATGGCAAAGCATGCAGAAACACCTGAACAAATGCATGACAACGTGATTCAGCTGTTGCCAACAGATCTGCCAGAATTAAGTTAAGCTGCAGTAATACGTCGGCAAACAAACGTGTGGCTTTTAACTGGAACAATGCCATAATACCGTTGGAATCTGGTTGAGAGGAAAAGCATCTAAATCAAAAATAAAACAATATGATGTCGGTGAAGAACACTTCAGTAGCTTTAACGCATGAAAACGTGAAGTAGACTAAGAGTCGCTCCAATTTATCAAGCTAGTTTCTGGGCCAAATGACTATAAATGGGTTGTGTTGGATTAGCTGAGGCTATCCATCAGCTGCAGTGATTTTGGGCATTTATTTTTATTGCAGCCAGCAAAAGACAAACAGAACCAAGCCAGACAAAACTCACACTACCATCTGCATCTTCCTACTATCAATTAATAACCAGAGCGTGTACTAAAACGACTTATTCACACAAATAGTGAGCTAGTTGGACTTTGGTCCCACTTAGACTGAAGGAAAGCTACAAAAACAGTCATTCTGTCACTGAAGACAAATTCGTGGTTAAAGAACATAAGATCATTAATAACTTTTCTTTGGATTAAAAAGATTAATATAGTACAAATTAGATATTGGTGAATAGGAGTCTGTCTTTGTTTCAAATAAAATGTTTTCTACAGAACTGAGCATCAATACAAACTAACTTTCATTCCTGGCTGGAATGATGTTTGATCAGATGCTGTTCAATCGCTGCAGTTCTTCGAGGGTAACCTCGTGTGTCCCGGCCACATGTCAGCGTCTCTGTTTGGAAACCATTTTTCTGCTTGCCAGCAGGAACAGCTGCCTGTGGAGATGTCTGTGTTGTTTAGCCGAATGTTTAGTTAAAATATCTAAAATGCCACTTGAAATGCAAAGAATAATGTCTACATTAAAAACAAACCAAAACTGTTAGAGCTTTCTTGCATACTTGCCCACCATCTGTTACGTGAAGGTTGAATGAAATCACAGTGACACAGCTGGCGTGTATAATTCTCAAAAAATGTATGTTCTAATATTTGTGATTTGTAGGGATGGGTACCTTTGACATTTGAATCAATCCGGTACTAATTCCCGGTACCTACGAATCGATACCGGTACTTAACGGTACCAATTTTCGATACTTTTGAGTGTTTATTATTTTAATTCTCTTTTATAATTAAATATATATTTTTCTCAATATATAACAATATTTGATAAATATCACGATAAATAACATTCAACTGTTTGTATTTTAACATCGTACTTGTAATTTTATAAGCTGATAATTAAACTAAAGCAAACATCTTTACTGTGAACTAAATTTACTGTATCTTCATTCCTTTTACCGTCCTTTTTTTTCATTTGATTTTTCCTACTGGGAAGTTAGAATTTCCCAGGAGAAAGCGAACGCACCATTAGCTGATAACAATGGTAGCAATGAAAGCTAACATACCAAGCTAACGTTATCTTAAACAGTTTATTTAGCTGCTGGAGCAGATTAAAACGATGATGCCTCACACTTAGATCGTTGTCACTGGTTTCTTTCGTCTTCACCCGTCGCATTTAGTAAAGTGAAGCCAAACTTTAGAGCGCGTTCATGTTCTTCTAGTCGGAAATTCGGAGTTCCAAGGAGAAAGTGAACGCACCATTAGCGAAACGGAAGCTAACATATCAAGCTAATGTTATCTTAAACATTTTATTTACCTACCGGAGCAGATGAGGATGTCTCACTTAGATCGTTGTCGCTGGTTTCATCATCACCCAGTTACCCATCACATTTAGTGTAGTGGACCCAAGCTTTAGCGTGCGTTCTTTCTACCATGCTGCTCTGTTTACAACTGGCTCGCAGGGATCGACGACATAACACTCTTGCGCATGCGCAGCTGTCTAGGCAAGTTCTCGTTACGAAGGACCGGTACCGAAACGAGGCACCGTTTGAAATGACGTGAATCGGTGCTCGGTCGGTACCTTAAAAAGTACCGAATTCGGTACCCATCCCTAGTTTGTACTTAAAAACCCGTGTTTGTTATGTTGTAAAGCTGCATCAGAAATCGTTCAATTTAAAGAAAAGCTTTCAAATTAAACTTGTAAATATGAACGTGCTAAATTATAAACACAGTTAAAAAGGAACTATTCACCAACACTTCTACTCACAGGGAAGATTCATCCCTCCCCTAAACTTGACTGATGTCTAGAAGTAAAATACAAAAGATCCATTTGGGATAATCTGGTATGAATATTGTAACTTGATGACAGTTGCATATTTTATTCTTTACAAAATATAAAATCGAGGTAGAAAATTTTAAATACTGTCACTGTCCATCAGCAGAGCCCTTTCATCTTTTAAAAGTCGGTTTCAAGCCCGTGTTCCGACAACTTTGAACAGTCTTTTCCCATGATTTTCACACCGGCATAAACACCAAATTTAAAGATCAGGTTTGCCCGTTTTTTTTAACACATTTGCAGTTGTAATGGTCTCTTATATAAATGAATGCCTTGTGAGTCAATCTGTGTAGGAAAAATGTTCTGGCGCTCCTGTTTCAGGAACAAGAAGCTAGCCAGCAGAGAAATGGGCAGAAAACAGCAGGATTTAGAGGCTTATTTCCTGATATTTGGACATCTTGCCCCTGATTGGCTAACAGCATCGTGACTCTACAACTGACAATGTCTGCTTTGCAACTTTGATGTTTTATCTTCACAAATAACAAAAGCCTGAAATAATTCTGCCATGCTCTGAATTTGCTACTGCAAGCGGCTAGCTTCCACTTGCCGAGACATGCTCTACTCTCTCCTGGATGCTTATGGGCCATTCCCATCTGTACCGGGTCGGCCCGGGCCGGGTAGCGTAGGTTGTTTACATATCTGGGTGGCCTGGTATTTTTCCGGGCCAACCAAGGCTCATTCTCAGCCCTCTTCTCGAGGGGGTCTGCTTCAGGCCGACCAGGGCCAACACACCCACTGCTGACAGCAAATGCACACCTTCCATTAGAGCAAGCCTCTGATTGGTGGGTAGAATCAGCCCACATGGGCTTAAGGCAAGGATGTGTGGAATCAACCGGGCCAGGCTGGGGCCGACTGGGGCTACCCGGCCCGGGCCGACCCGGTACAGATGGGAATGGCCCATTAGTAAAAACAGACTTCCCCATTGTGAGCCAAGATGGGTGAGTTTGATACAGGAAATAAAGAGTAAAAAAGAAAAAGGTTCCTCAGTGAACTTGGCCTTTAAGCTCAAAATTATTTCAGTTACTTGTTTTTTAAAAAGTGTTAGCTAAAGTTAAACATTTCTGATAGTTTCATGCACTATAATATCATTTCAAAAGATTCCACAACCCTGAAAATACAAGATGGGATTTAAAGCATTTTCAACAGTTTCGAGCAACCTTTAAGAACCCTGCATCAGGTTCCAACTGAACAGTTTAACATGAAACTGAATTTTTTAAAATACAACTTCTCTGGAACAATTTGTAAAAGTGTCACTGACTAAATTGTGCACATAATACAGGACAAGCACAGTGGTGACCGTTACCTTCTTTGACCAGGTTCTCGTTGAAGAGGCTGCTGAGAATGGATGCAGAGAGATTCCCATTGGCCAGCAGGATTCCAGTTAGCATGGCCAGTTTGTTACGGTCAGACTCTGTGAAGCCCTTAAGGAACAGCAGCAGCTGGAAACAACAAAATAAATAAATAAAAATACAGTTGTTGAGAGTCAGGGAGTATTATATATCCCATAATTAATTAAGAAACTTGACAGATAAAGCCGCAATAACAAACCTTTTTGATCTCCTCCTCAAACCCCTTTTCCAAGTATTTGTAACGCCTGATGAGCTTGTTGAAGACCTGCAAATACAATACATGTATGACCGGAAATACCAGCCATATTTATGTTTCCTGTAAGGAAATAGGAGTATTTACCTGTGCATAGGCCTGCATGGTCTCCATGTCTTCTTGTGCTTTGAAGACACAGAATTCTGTGCAGGTCATGTCTTCTGACAGAGTTCCTCCTGGGGCTAAAAATAAAAACAATTCCTGTTTCTTTTATGATTGAACAGCTTTGCTCAGCGTCTACATTCTCAAAGGTATGATGAAAACAAAGAAGAGACCATCCTATTTTTTATTAAAAACAAGCCACTCACTCCATAAACTTCAGTTATGCTTCAGGTTTCAGACCTTGGTTCACAATCCAACACAGGAGTTTGATTACACAGAAGGCATGTCTTGAATAATTGCAAAAGCAGCAAAAAGACTATTTTGAACAATTTATGCATATATTTAAGATGATTTTGTAGTTAAATAATCTTGCTAAACTGGCAGGTATCTGTTAACAAGTCAATTGCGTTAAAGGTGCATTATGTAGAAATGAAGTAAAATGACAACCTGTGGTAAAATCTGGTTACTGCAACCACTTTAAACAACTCAGGAGCTTTTTTTTTTTTTTAAACAATTGTTGGTGCTGCAGCATTAGCTCGCAGGAGGCACCACAACCCCACACTCTAGGGCTGGGCAATAAATCGAAAACTTATCTTTATCAAAATTTCTGATTCTTATCATGATAATTGTTCCCATGTAGGGTTGGGCATCGAGCATCGATAGGAACGGTTCCAACTGTTCATTTTTCTCAGAATCTTTCAAAGTTTTTTATTTCGATTCCTAGAATGCCGACTGGAAAAGCAATCCGCAGCCAATCTCCGTGAAAAATAAACGTGATCTGCAAATTGTGATCAGCACTTTTCAGAGCTGATCACACCAGCTGTCTGCGTGCAGCTAACGTGTCACTACTAGTTGCCCTACATTTAAAATATAGCTTTAGTTGCAGACTTACACCTGCTAACTAGCTTGCTAACGCTTTTTCGGGCTAATGTGTCACGACGAGTCCGATTTTCAGCTATGGCTTCCACCCCTACCCCGACTGACGGGTCGGAACCGAAAGCTAAAGAGGCTGCATCCCACCTGTGCCCGGGGCCATGTGGGACTTCTATTTCAGGCAGGGACCCTCATCCTATGTGCATAACGTACATGGGTACTGCTCACGCCCAGGCATCGCTGGCTAACCCGCAAACATGCCCTCACTGCTCCTCCATGCCGGAGAAGATAAGTGAAAGGAGGCTTAGAGTGGCAGTGGCTAACGGCCGGGACCCAGGCCTCGGCTCGGCCACGCCTGTAGATGCAGGTAACAACCATCAGCCGCGAGCCTCCACAAGCTGGGCGGATATGATGGAAGTGGAGCCCCCGCTACCACCTCTGTTCGAGGGGCTGGTTGACAGCGGGCTGTTCGATGCGGTTGAGGACGTGGCTGGAGGTGATGCGAACTCAGACCTCCTTGACTTGGACATGGAAGAGGAGGAAGAGGATTCCACCTTCCCAGCTCAACACTCTAGGCCGTCTAGCGGCAGTGGGGTGGCATCACAGCGGGACGCCGATCTGTACGAGGTTTGCAGACGAGCAGCGGTAAAGCTCAACATTCAGTGGCCGGCAGCCCAGGGGGCAGACGGGGTGGAACGAGACCTGTATGATGGTAAGAGGCTGCCACTATCCTCCGCTCCACCCAAGCAGCTCTTGCCGGCTGTCCCAGCATGCATGAGAGACATGAGCCGTTACTGGTGAAGCCCATTTAAGAGCAAACTCCCCACCAAGGGATGCTCTAAACTGGAGGTGCATGGGATGGGGAAATTGGGGCTGGCCAAACCCCCAATGGTGGAGCCTTCAGTGGCATACCACCTTCACCCCAACCACAGATCCGTGTCAGCATCATCCAGCATCTCTCTCCCATCTAAAACAGATCGTCTCACGGCATCCATTTTTCAGAGGATGTACAAATATGCTGGCCAATCTGTGTGTTCCCTCAATGCAGTTAATCTCTAGTCAGCTTATCAAGGAGAAATCCTGGAGGAAATGGGTCGTCAGCTGGACTCTGGGGCGCCTAACCCAGCTTTATGGGATGAAATCTGTGTGGTGAATGATCTCATCCTGCGCTCCTCTAGAGGACCATTCCAGGGCTGTGCATGTGTGATGGGTTTGGCGGTTTCGGGTGAGAGCCTTGTGGCTAAACCTGTCAGGCCTAGGCGACACCCAGAAAGCTGATGCCATGGATGCAGCAAATGACCCTACCAAAGGTCTCTTTGGCCCTTCCTTGGAGGAGATGACTGAGATAAGTACCCGCAGAAAGCAGGAAGGTGAGGCCTTCAGTCTCTGCTTGCCTCGTGAACATAACCCTCAGCCACCTCAGGCACCCAAGCCTGGGTTTGAAGCAGCTGCCTCAGCGGCAAAGGGTCGACAGGGTGGGGCTAGACCAGGGGTGGGCAACCTGTTCCCATCAAAGAGCCATTATTACCTGTGTTCCACAGTAAAGAAAACACTGGGAGCCCAGTGTTTCCCCTAGGAATTTTTCCAGCTGTGGCGGTGGGGCCGGCCGAGCGGGGGGGGGGGGGGGGGGGGGGGGCTTTGGGAGAAATTATGACACATCTCTAAATAAAGTAAAATTTTCTAGTGCAGAGAGGAGACAACCCATAGAAGCACTGATTTGATCTCATTTCAGAGAAAAATAGAACAGGCCAGATGCACCTAATAAATAAAACTACTAACAAACTCAGGAATCTTTCTTTGCTTCACTGTTCTGGTGCTGAGAATATCCCTAATGCAGATCAAAGGAGATCCACAGATGAATGGACCTCATTTATTATTTGGAGACTACATTTACTGCAGCTGGCAGAGGCAGAGATTGTTTCTATTGATACACGGATTTACAGAATCATTTTAAATGTTAATAGGGGAAGACTGCAGGGGGGAGCGGTAAAATACAGGGGGTCCCCAGCAAAAACAAGAAACTTTATGAGTCTGATGAAACCCGCTGGTTTTCCATCAGGCAGTCACGGGGCAGCTCCAACGACCCAGTGGCTGTGCTGGGTCAATGTTATCGAGCTCAGTCCGGCTCGGCAGAGAGTGAACGAGCCGCGGCGACGTCGTGCTCTGCTTAAGAAGAGGCGTTATTTTCCCGCTTCAGAACGCTTCAACGTGTTTTTACGCTTTCTCCGAGACATGTCACGTCGCTAAGTTGGTAGCACCGCGCGCCAACACGTCAATAGTGCAGCGTAGCCTGCTGGAGGTTTTAAGGGTTCAGATGAAAACATCCGACCTCTCACGCTGCTCACACATCGATCTTAAGTTGTCGCTGTTGCTGATCTTTGTGGCTCCATTGTGGCCATCCAAGCCGTGGGTGGCAGAAATAATCCAGATGCTTTAGAGCAAACCCTGGCCCCTGCATGTCTGCAGGGGTCTCCTGTCCCAAGCCAGGTGAGAGATTTATCACCCTCACCCAGACCGCTTGTCTCTGTGGGCCTGGTCCGTGAGAAGTGGAATCTGAGCATGGCAGGCCTGCCCCCAAGTGTCATTGACACCATTCAAAATGCTAGGGACCCCTCAACTCGCTCTCTTTACAGCTGTAAATAGAGTTTTTGAGGTGTGGTGTGAAGAAAAACATGTTATCCCATTGCAGTGTTCGGTGGTAGATGTACTCTGTTCTTTTGCAGAGTCTGATGGACAAGGGTAAAGCTTTCGCCACTATCAAAGTTTATCTGGCTGCAATTTCTGCATGCCATGTGAGGTTTGGTGACAAACCAGTGGGGCAACACCCATTAGGGAGTCGCTTCATGAAGGGTGCTCGCTGTGAGCTACCAGTCTTTAGGCCACTGGTACCACTGTGGGACCTCTCTCTTGTTCTGGAGGCCCTCTGTCATCATCCTTTTGAACCTGTAGATGGGGCTGGATTGAAATTTCTCTCTTTAAAAACTGCACTGCTCTTAGCTTTAACTACAGCAAAGAGGGTGAGTGACCTTCAGGCATGGTCAGTCAGTCCCTCTTGTTTACGGTGGGCCCCTGGCTACACTAGTGTGTGTCTGCGGCCCAATTCAGCTTTTGTGCCTAAAGGAATGGAGTCGTCTGTTTGACATTCTGGTGTCGTCGTATAGCTGCTCCCCTGTGGAGCTTTTCTGCCTTTTTCCTCAGCAGAAGAGCAGAAGCTCAATTGTCTCTGCACTGTTCGAGCTGTAAGGGTGTATATGGACAGGACTGCTGGTCTCAGAAAAACAGACCAGTTGTTTGTTTCTTGGGTCACGGCCCATAAAGGCAAACCTGTGTCTCGCCAGAGACTGGCACACTGGATTGTAGAAGCAATCGGCCTTTCATATAGGTGTAAGGGTGCTGAACCCCCTCTGGGGGTGAGGACTCATTCTACAAGGAGCATGGCCACATCTTGGTCCCCGTTTCGTGGAGTGTCAATCCAGGATATTTGTGCAGCAGCTAGCTGGGCTACGCCGCTAACTTTTGTGCGGTTTTACAGGCTGCATGTGTCTCAACCTTCACTGGCCCATTCAGTGCTGGAGGCAGGATGCACAGTGTCTGCCTAGTGGTTAAGTAGAATTTTGCTGCCGCTCGCTTCGGGATGGACGTGCAATCCGGGAGTGGGCCATATCACCCATAGTGAAACACCGAATGAAGTTAGAAAAAGAATGTAGGGTTACGTTATGTAAACCCCGGTTCTTCGATAACAGAGTGAGGTGTTTCACCAATAATTCCCTTCTTGCATTAACGGTAAAAAAAAAAAAAAAATCGCCCGAATGAGTAGGTGTTGGTTGGCCGTGTATATACTGGGTGGGCGGAGCCTGGGCACGGCGCAACCGGTCTGTCAGGGACAGACATCATGTCATTGGAGCTTCCGTAGTTGGTCACGCCAGGGCGATTCCAATAGTGAAACACCTTACTCTGCTATCAAAGAACCGGGGTTTACATAACGCAACCCTACGTTTGTCTCACTGCAGAAACAAAAACACACACGGAGCGTCAGCAGTCAGACGCAGCCAGCCACATTCAAGTTTCACTTTCTGTTCTGACTGAATGCTGCTGCAGCATGGAGGTGTAGATCTCGGTCATCCTGGATGTGATCATCCTGAGAGTTTTAGCTGAGAACAGCTGGACGTTTCTGGATATGTTGGAGACGTATAGCCTCTCATCCCAGAGGCTGCTTCCAGACTTTGTTTGTGGTCAGAAACAAACACGCTGGTTGTGCTGCAAGTTAGGGCTGTCGCGGTTGAGGAATTCCCCCTGCAGTGATTCAGGGTGGCTTAATATTGCGGTGTGCGATACTATCGCAGCACTTTTTTATATTGCAGTACTATCTAAACATAATGTTTACACATTTAAAAAAGGTCAAAAATTGCTGTGCCTTCTTTCATAACACTTTACTGAATGCAGATCAAAGGGCAGTAACAACACAGATCGCAGTAACGTTTGTTTCTCCGACAGTCGGAGTACGACTGAACTTAAAAACAACAAAATTCAGGAGAAGGTTAAACTTTTAAATGCAAATTTGGCTGCAGCATTTAACAAATAAGAAACAAGTCCCCATTTTGTTTAGTTGTTTAAAATCAAGCATAAAAAATTACATGTACCGGGCGCGGGGCACTATCATTTCACTTTCACTTTCACACGAATGACGGTGATTTATAGCTCGGTCACGTCCTTATTACCCACAAGGAAAACCAGCATGTTAACCATATACGGTTTGAGAGAGGATCTGAGAGGGGTGGCAACATTTGCAGCAACACTGAAAACCCTCTCGGGTGGTGCGCTCGTTGCACTAACACACACGTACTTGCGTGCGACTGGCGAGCAAAGGGAATCTCTCCCGGTTGTTGCTCCACCATGTCAGGGGGGTTTCTTTAGGGTGGATGCATTCCTCCTGCAGGTAGCGAGTGAGCTCCAGCTCGGCTCAAACTCTCTTCGGGGCGGTTGCAGAAGCAGTGCTTGTCCGGGACTTCAGCAGGTCTCCGAGCGTTTATTATTATTGTTTTGCCGCTGGTGGCAGCTCTGTCTCGGCCAAGGACTCTGGCTGCGCAGCAGCTGACGTACTGAAAACCAAAGTGCTCCCAAAGGAGCGAAGTAACGTTTCGTTTTGATACCAGTGCAGCCATCCTTCTCAACATGCATCATTGAGTTGAATCAAGTTCAGTAATCGCGGTGGCGCATGATGCAGCGCGGTGGGCTTCTTCATATTGCGATATTTCATTTTTGCGGTTACCGTGACAGCCCTACTGCAAGTCTCTCTTTTTCTTGAAAACATGTTTTTGTCTAAATGAAGGTGATGTTAATGTTCATAGAAGTAAATGCATGTTGAAGTTAAGATTATTTCCTGAAGTAGGACCTGTGGTTAGCTGGCTCATTTAAAACATGGAATGTCTTGAAAGAATCGGAATCGGGAATCAGAATCGAAACAAGGAATTGGAATTGTTCAAAATCAAACGATCCCCAACCCTATTCCCATGTCAATAAATTTGACAATAAAAAAATGAAAAGGTGTGTGTAGGTTGGCAACATTCATGTCCCTTTAAGACGCTGTACCACCTTGAGTCATGTAAAAATGTCACCCAACGTAATACACGTGACAGCCCCATCTTTTCTTTCTGCCCATACCTGTAGCTATCCTCCATTTATCGTTATCGAGGTGAAATCCTCAATATATCGTGATATTAATTTTAGGCCATATCGCCCAGCCCTACCACACTCACTGATGGTAAACAGTAGTTAAGTCCCTCCTTCCTTTGTTTGGAAAGGACAACATTTGACAATCCCCGCTGGGTATGAAATATGCTTCAGTATAACCTTGTAGAGTTGGGCGATTTGTATCATGTTCCCACCTCCGATCATCTGTCCAAAAAAAAAGACGATGGGCAATTCATTTGTGCATGTGACGTCATGATGCACGGACTCATTTGTGAAGACAGAAGAAACCCAAAACATAGATTTTTTTTATACAAGTGAAGCACATCTGTTTGCTGGAAGAGAAATTTAGATGTTTCTTTGTGTTTAATTTTGTATTTGTAGTTTGGTTGAGTGATGTATCGAAGGCTCGTATTAAACAGTTAAATTTTTAAAAGAAGCCAAGTCTTTGTTTCCCTGTGGTGCCCACTATTGTTGTATTTTATTTAAACAAATGTATTTTCTTAAGAACATAGGCTACTGTTTTTTTCCTTTTCTTTTATGAGTCCGAGTAGGAAACGGAATGAATCGCTGCTGCGTTTGGACGAACTTTGAGGACATTTGCTCGCAGCCAGATGTCGCATGATCCATTTATCCCCGTCACTTTCAATTTGAAAATAATAAATATTCATTCAATTTCCATTCATTTCAATTAACATTTAGTCCAAACAAGCTAAACAGAGTGCCCCAGTAACATAAACAATGCAATTAAACTATTGCACTTAAATGAAAGCACTTTCCTTCTGCTACACGCAAACCTGAACTGATCACCTGTTTGTGCGTAATCAAATGCCTCTAGGTAGCTTGCTGAAGAGGTTATGAGGTTCTGGACTTTTGCTTCAGACGATCCCGTGGATGTTTAAATGTTTTGGATGAATACACGCTCCACTGACACACTCGAAGCAGGTGCTGAATAATGACGAGCACTACTTCAGCCAAAGATTCAGGAAACATTTCTCCAAAAGAAATAACGAGAAGTCTTGCCGACACTCTGAAAGAGAGAAGGGTTTCCACTTTCCAATCCACACCGTGCAGTTGTGCACAATGTCGAGTGCATCACAGATGCTCTCTGAGCTCCTCCTCTGCGCGCCGCCAGCGTCGGAGAAGGTGAGAAAATGCTCAGATGTGCTGATGGCAATCTTTTCATGATGATTACCTCCACGATGTTCTTCGTGTGTAATGTGTAAAATATGTATCATTTACAAACCAACTCACGGGCAAACAAATGAAATAAATAAACAAATTGCCTCCTGTAAAAATAACGACCATAATGGCTCAGCCCATCACCCAACCCCATAACCTTCCTTCCCAAAATGACTGAAACATTGAGACTTTTTGGGGATTTTCTCACACTAAATTTCTCACTATGTTCTTACATGCTGCACCTTCAACTTTGATGTTAATGTAGACTCACCCAGCATCCCACCAGCAACCAGGATGTCAAACAGAGTCTCGGCATATCGTCGGTAGTCAAGCTTGGCACCAGAAGTGTCAAGGAACTTAGCGACAGCTTCCAGATCAGTGCCAGTTTGGTTCAGGCCTTGTACAATACTTTCCTGGAATTGGGAAGGGTCAAACCTCTCCTTTTCATCTGAAGAAAATAATTACAATAATTTTGATTAAACCATGCCACGGACTCATGGACAGAATATGACTGCTGATAATCTCATGCTAGGTTACTTTAAGCTCTCAAGAACATTAATAACCGGATGAAAACATTTTTTCCACAACCTTTTAGCTATTGCAGTGCATTTCTCCACGTTTTATTACATTTAGTAGACAATAAATCTAAACAAAAAGCTTTGGAAATAACTAAACGAAATCAAATAAGCTAAATCTTATTTAAAATCAGCATTTTGATTGCGTCAAAACAAATGAGTGAACATGAGGACTTGTCACCTCTTTTTCGAGTTTTGAAACGCTGGCCTGTTAGCGTTGGCTTCTGCTGCTTTTGGTTACTCATAAAAGACACCCTGCAAGGCAAAATCATCAATCAGGACTAAGACAGAAACAATTTTAGGTTGTGACATAATAACCGAAGGCCGACTGTGATGATTTTTGTTGGTTTATCGCTTTAACAGCTTATGTAAACATTAGCTTTGGGACTAAATCAATAATATCTTCAACAATAGCACTTATTTTACAGAGTTGCAAAGCATATCTACTGATAAAGAGATAGCTGAGCAGAACTGTTTTAGTCAGTAAATTCAATATTCAAAGAATCTGCTGAGAAAATAACATCAAAAGCTGTTGATTTAGCTTATGGTGAAGATGACACGTTGGTTAGCTAAAACTAGTCCTGCTGCTACCTTTAAATAATGACGCAGTTGTATGTTTTAATAACAAATGTGAGCTTTACTTAGTCATACAGATAATACATTCGGTCATAAAAATGAGCAGAAACTCACCGAAATCCTCTCTTTAATTCAAAACAGCTCGTAGAAAAATGTATTCCAGCTGGACTTTAGCACAAGACACAGGAAGAGGAAACGGTAAACGGTAGCGCGCATGCGCAAAACCGCTAGCTAATTGAGGCGCAACTATTTATTGTGGGGAAACAGCTATTTATCACGTAATTTGTATTTATTTTAGCAAATTGGGGCCATATGTTTATAAAGTACCCCATAAACACTTCGATATTTTACGGAAAATAGCAAACACTCATATCAGTATAGAAATTCAACACAATATTGTTGTAAAGAGAAAAAAAAAACGTACGTTTAATTCTTGTTTAGACGCACCAAACCGAGCCTGGTGGTTAAATGGGCGTGACTGAGTCGTTGCGATGTGGAATTAAGACACAGGAGGGGGATATTGTGCTGCCATGTGGATGACGCATATGTCCATATGGGATGAAGGGAAAAGTTTATTGCTGCGTTAACGTTCACCTCGTAAATTTTAGAGTTCGGTAACTAAAACAGTTTATCTTTAGTAAAAGGACCAAATATATTACATATTATCAGGAAAAATTGATGGTACATGTGCTACTTGAAAGAAAAATCACAACAGATTATTAATAAAACAATAAAGTGGTTAATCTTTGGTGTTATATGGAGTAACCAGCTTAGACAAAATAAAAAACAAAACTAAAATGAAACTAAAAACTTACAGATCAACTATTAACCTAAAGTAAATATACTCAACCATCTAAAATAGTTATAAAGTTACTGCAAATAACTGAAATTTCTAAATAATAAAAAGGCGGGAAAAAACAATTCCACATATTTAAAAAAAGTCTGATTAAGTACAAGGAAATACAAATTAAATCCCAGGAAATACAGGTTTTGCTTTCTAATTTGTGTAACGGCAGGATACTGCCACTGTTAAAAGGCGAAAGTTGTTCCTTGTTGGTTTATATATATATATATATATATATATATATATATATATATATATATATATATATATATATATATATATATATATATATATATATATATATATATATATATATAAGGCACAAAACAAACAGAAACAAAAAAGAGTAATTAGGAGAAATTAGGAAACACGTTATGAGGTTTAAAGCTGCCTAAAATCGGAGCCCCTTTAAACTCAGGCCTAAGTAGATGGAGTTAGAGTTCCGTCAGAAATATCCTATATGAACCCACATTTCCACACAGAAGAAATCAGACTGAACTTTAAAGATGTAAAATGTTGGGAACGTTGGGATTTAACGCAACGCCTTCATAAATGTCTCATTTGGGCAGGAAGAGAAGGAAATATAATTTCCGACAACACATGAACGTGTCACCAGCCCACAGCCCCCTAGCTCGGGAGGTGATTAAGGGACTCTGGACTAGCCCAGAGACGCCGCTCCAGCCACTCCCTGCAGCCCGGCACCCTCCGAGCTCTAAATCCATCCGGAGCTCCATTCAAAGTGCTAAGGTCTGGATGAGAGCCTCGTCCGAGCCCCATCCAGCACAGCAGACACGCGTTCAGGCGAAGACAGCTGGCAAGGGCTTCAGGAGCCGCTCCAGAGTTGGACAATCTCCCCCTGGATCACAGCTCTTGTCCGCGGAGTGGATTTAGGACAAGGAGGAGCGACTCTTCAGAGATAAAGAGGCACGTTGTTCATTTTGTTTAACTTATAACTTCCATTAATGAGTTCGCGTCAACTTTTCAGAACTTTTTATTGTCCAACCGAACACCGCGTCTCATTTCGCTCCCTAGAGGTTTTATTCTTATTTTTATTTCTACTTGACGTGATTTCTGTGATTAAACCTTAAAAAATCACGAATTGCTCGTGTTAGTCTTGAGCTGCGCCGTTTCCTGATCCAAATCAAGGCTCTTAATTGTCAACATCTGCGCGCAAGAGGCGATCAAACCGCTGCAAACCCAACCAGACTTTCTCATCCAGATATGCCTTTTGTCCCATATTCAGTTTTTTAAACACATCATGCAGCAGTGAACTGAAAGTGGGAGGCCTGATAAGGATATGTGCACTCTGATCTGTGATTTGGCTCCAACCTAGAGGTCAAACCTCAATGATGAACTGGTTTGTGCTTCAGTCCTGTCCCGAGGCTCCTGGCTGTAATAAATCACAGCTCAGCAACGACTGCATGAATAAAACTATTCATCTCTCTGAGAAAACCTCAAAAGTTTGCCAGATGCATGTCGACCTGCTTCCGTTCTGCTGTGGGATCCAAGTTAAGTCATTCTAACCAATTGAAGGTTTGGAAAGAAAACGTGAATGAATAGGAAAATGTCCGTGCATTTCTCCATTCATGGTCTACTTTCAGAGTTAAAGTCACAAGTCAATCAGATAAAACGTCTTGGAGAACAAAAGTTGGTTTCCCAGTGTGGTTTTCCACAAATATGTTCTGCCTCTCTTTGCCGGCAGCTCTACAGTGGAGGAACCAGATGGGAACTTTATTACCCGCACTGGTCAAACAAACAGTGATGTAAGGTGACTGAAGATTGAGAGCTTTCAGAGCTGCAGAGAGCCTCCTGGAAAAAAGTAACAACCGTTTAGCTCAGCTGGAGGAGGGCAGCGTGTGCGACTGTTGGCCGGTAGTCCCGCTCAGTGGGAGCTTTTCAGGCAGCATGCTGGAAGCTGCCACAGTATTTTCCAATGTGCCAAAATCCCCACCAAGCACACTGTGGGGTGACATGTTGTGGTCTAAAGCGGGGTGTATAGAGGATCAAAGTCCCTCCACCGATGCCATGACGATGAATGGTGTTTGCACATGTCGGTCTGTGTAGTGAGGCGTGTGGCTTGTGTTAGTCCTGCGTCAACACAGACCCAAGTCTTCCTGAAGCCAGAAAGTATCCGTAGTCCTCTCGGTGATCCCAGATCAGCAACTCATCCATATTAGAAGCTTCTAATGCCATTTCAACCTGGGCAATTTCTACAAAATTCAACTTGAAGACTTACATTTCATTTCCTTTAGGTCCCTAAAGAGCTGCAGTACAAACACTATACAATCAGTTTTTTCTCCCAAGTCTGGACATCTGCTTCTTCCATTCACCGCTTAGGAATCAGAACATTTCAGTGCCTCTTGAGCTTTCTTATTGCCCTTTGCACAAGTTCATCCCACTCTTTCCTTTAATACGTTTTATTAATATCCCTAATGAGCAGACAACATAAAATCTTATGTCAATTATGTTGTTTGTGTAAGCACATTCATGAGGTTGTAAATGACTACTTGTGAGACTTCTGCATTAACATCAGCCTGCAGAAATATTAAATTCCCCTTTTAAAATGGCTGCCACCGAGTGTGCAGATAAACACCAGCTTGATTTTTGTTGCACAAACGTGACTTTTAGATTTGGTCCATGCAAGCAAAGCAATTTGGCTTTAAAGCTGCAATGGCACAGTTGGAAAACGAATTGGCTTAAAACATTTTTTAGGGATGTAAGAAAATATCGATATGGCAATATATTGTGATATTTTTTCCAGCAATATTATATCGATATTCAAAAGCCGTGTATCTAATTCTTGAAAGAATTTACATGCAAACATTTGTGTAATTTCTTTTCGTTTTGTGCAATTCAATCGCCACCCACTAGTTGGCAGCAGTGTGCAACGGGTTTTGTTTCCACCATTGAAATGTAAATCCCTCCATCGTGGTTCAGATACCTCATGTTAAACATGTTGCGTATCAGTTTGGACTGTTTATTGAACATTCTTACAATAAATTCAGTAAAAAAAATTGCTTGTAACGTCTGACTGAATGTATCGCAATATATCATGATATATTGTATCATCTCCCCTGTATCGTGATACGTATCGTATCGCCAGAATTTAAACAATACACATCCCTGATATACAAGATAGATAGATAGATAGATAGATATACAAAGGATTTCATGGATACTCGAGCAATAGGGAGCGTAAGTCACGCCCATCTACTTCCGGACCATGGGAAGAAAAAAAAAGAAAAAATTAATGTCAATGGGGCTAAAAAATGCTATTTTCTAATACTGCATATTATGTACCATGGATTTCACATATGCTGTCCATGAATTTTGAAAAAAGCTTTTTGATGCCAAGAACGCGCTTATTTATGAACGGGGAACACACTATTTTAGGTTTTGTGTGGAAAATAAGTCCCAGACTAGAAATGCGCTTCACGAAAGTGACTTCATCGAATCTGACTTGGAGAAAACGGAGTGAAAATGGCTGTGAGTTTATCAAACTTCAAATCCTTCCTTCAGGAGTAAAGGACCACCTTAAATCTGGCCATTTGGTAAGTAGCAGCTATGATAGATGGGAGGAGATTATGTGGTGACGACGTGCCGATGTAGTCATGCTAATTACGAACTTTTACAAGCTGATAAAGCTCAATGTACGTGACTGGAATGGTCAAAACACCCATCATTACTTATTTTTTTTTATTGCAGTACAACATTTGTGCGATCCAGGGCGTAAGGCAAAGCGGATTAGAAAATGGTGTTTTTAGCTCCATTTACTTTCATTTTTTCGTTCTTCCAGGGACCCATGAGCCAACCGGAAAGGGGGGAGACTTGGGCTTCCTATGATGAATGGTAGAGGGAGGGTAAAGGCTCTTTTGATTTGTATCGCATATTTGTCATTTAAATTGGCTCAAAGGCTTTTTAAAATGGTTTCAATTGAATCAAATTACGTGTGTGATTGGTTTAGATCAGATTTGATTGACGGATGTCTCATAAGCAGCAAAAGATTTTTTGCAAAATTTAAGATGAAACTTATTCAGAAAATTCAGGCTAGACACTTCCAAGACTCATCCAATTTTTTGCACCATGCCATTGTTCCTTTGCTGTAAGAACTACTGCCACCTAGCAGCTGGAGTCTGAATTGCACCTTGCAGAAAAACACTAAATGTTTGCATCTAAATTCTCAAAAGAAATCTATACTGCTTTTAAATTTCAAATAAAAATCACAATATTTCAGTTTATTTGTATTTTTTTTACATCATTAACAAGGAGTGATTAAGAAAAAGGCCATCAACAGTCTTTTTTTTTTTTTTACTTCTCCATCCACTTTAGTCTTACCTACCAGGAGTTTGCCGCTGTATCTTGGATAATTTTGGGTCCCTTTGTCTATGAATTAGCTGACTTTGGTATCTAGGACTTAAAGAACTGGAGCTTTGAGTGTCAAGTGCAAATCAGATGGTTTTGTTCTGTCAGGTGAGGGAAACTTTGGGTGGAGCCTGAGTCACCTTTAATGACCTTTAATCTTGTGAGACTGAAGGTATTTTCCATTAGACTTTCACAATAGTAACCTGTTTGAGGGTGTGTCTCAGAGGACATTGTGTCTCAAAGTTATTGTTACAGAGGGTGTGTGATGCCTTTTCAAAATAAAAGTACAGCACTGAAAGAAGTATCTAACTCACCTTGGATTCAAATAAATGCCGAGGTCATCGACGGATGTATTTGTGATGGGGTTAAGCTGCCCTTCTCAGATTTGACATTCTCAGTCAAACACTGGGTTTCTTTGATTTCGGGATACTGTTTTTTTATTTTTATTTTTTTGTTTTTTGTATGTGTTTTTTGGAGCAGATCTATTCTTCTCTGTACTTTGAGCTGATTTATAAGTAAAAAGTTTGTTTGGGTTCCAGATTCCTTTTGAACCTGCCTATGTTTGTGTGGTTGGTACAATACAGTAACGTGTTAGATCATGACTTGTTTTCATTATTTTTTTTAGTATACTGACCTCACGTGCATGCTGCTGAAAGCAAGGGTTTTCAGTTTGAGTGCACCTGTGATTGGAGTCTTTGCGAGTCTGTTTCCGAAAACCTCTGCCCCTGCGTCCTGCCTTGCCCCTTGGCACAGACACACGTGTCGCCGCTGCTGCTCCGTTCGACAGGGCTTTAATCTCCCAACGTTGGCAGCTGTTGGGATGTTGCGTCTCTTCTGCCTCGTGACAAGGCCACGCTGATCTGTGGGAAATTTCCAGAATCATATGCCGTATAATAGATTTTATTATCATTTGTTTGCACATTGATGGCACCGTACTCCCAACGACTGCTCTCAGGGTAGCGTGAGGGCAATCATCTCTTTATTGTGTCTCGTCACAGCTCTCGCACCGGCTTCATCTAGAACCAAAGGCTTGATTTGTTGATCACAATAAAAGAATATTGACTATTTTAAGCAGCTCTTTTTAATCACGCACACACGCCTCGGCTACTGTCATCTGTTCTATTGACTGTTTGCTTTAGTTATGTGTTTTGCATGCGAGTGCGTGCATGGTTGTTGACCTTTGCTTTGAATTTTCTTCTCACTAAAGGACAAAAACACACACACACACTCAGAACTACATCCTTTCTTAATAATATATACACATTTATTGGTGTTTTATTCATGTCCCACCCCCATAGCTGATCTGGCTCGGCAATCTAGGTCACAGAAACAAAGTGAAGCATGTCTCCTAATATCACTGTGGGATGTATTGAAATCAGAGGTCCTGTCTAGCCTCGATAATGAGCCTTTAGATGAAAAAGCCTCATGTGTGCTTAATTTTTCTTTTAAGCAATGCCGCTCTTCTATAAATGGGACGTTTAATCCACAGGACTGTGGATTCATTGATAAATTTGATCCTGAGTAATGCACATTAAGCACATGGATCACATGTTTTATGGGAAGTGGACAAATAATTCCAGACTGGTGTACCAGGAAGGCAAGGTTAAAAAAAAGTGCGGATGTTTTTTTTTGGGTTTTTTTTTTTTTTAGAGGAGGGAAATCCCGCTTGACACGTGTTAACTTGCAAGCATGCATGCTTGTTCCAGTTGCAAAAACAATGTTTTTGAGTCAAATCTAATTGTATGAGAAGTCTAACAGGATAGATGGGGCTTTTTTTAATCCATGAGGTCAGAATTTGACGTGCCAAAACTAAATAATGTGCAAAATTGCAGCCATCTGCTGCACATAGGCACTGTGCCAGACGAGGTTTGCAGAGTGCATTCAAATAAGGTGACATGCATGCACCCAGACGGAGGCCGTTTGACCTCAAGTCATGTTGTATCTGTGATTCATGAGCTTTAGATCGGAGATTAATTGCAGCTAAACTGTGTGGGTGTTTTTTTTTTAAACTTACTTCTGACCTTTTAAACATACTAGAAAGGCTTCAGACAGAGATAGTAGGATAATTTTAATCCAGTTTCTCTAATAAAGATAAAACCTTGGAAGAAATCCTTCCTATTTGTACTAATATCACAATCATTTCTGTTCTTGGTCCTTCGTATGCGGCAAACCCTCAATCAAGAGTCGGTGGCTTTTGCATTGACCGTTAAAGATCATGAAGGTCATCTTCCTTATCTCTGTCTCAGCAGTAAGGAGAACCCTGAGTTGAATCATGGCTGTTGTTTATTTTATTTTTCCTCCTCCCTTTTTGGATGGAGCAGAACATTTAGGGAGCTACTTTTTATAATTGGAATTGTGTCTATGGCTGCCAGGAGGCCTCTTCCAAATCTGGGGAAGTGGGTTATAGGCGAGGGTTGAAGGCAGATGTGGAACATGTTTGGTTGGGATGGATCCGGCCCTCTGGAGACATTCACACGCTGCGTTCTCCCTCAGGTCAGCGAGAAGCTTTAGCATCTGTTTTCACTGTGGCAGTGTTGGCTTTGTTTCTTCAAACATTTAGTTTTTGTCAGACGAGTCTCAGCACTTCGGTTTAAATGATGAACTTATTTTTAGTAAACTGATTTTCAGATGGTTTCAAACCGTTTTTGGTCTTCTGAAAAGATTTCTGATGGGGGTTGTTCAACTGTATTTACTGACACTTGGGTAACCGTATATTGAATTATTTAATTCAAAAACCCGCAACCAATGATGTAATGTGTCATAGGACTAAATATCTGGAATGGTGTGGCAAAGAGGTCACATGGTGACCTCACACAGCAGCTGATTGTTTCCTCCAGGGGCATTACACCCATCCTAAAGGAAATCCACTTGTGTTGCCAGTGTGCAGCAGACAAGTGAAGCAGATGGTCGACATGAGCATTACTGGAAATGTTTTGGCTCTTCGCCGTCAGACGTTGCTCTGTAGTCGGTGGGAACAAAGTGACCCAACTCTGCAAGCTGACAAGTGAGCAAATGCACCCTCCCTCCCCAGACTTGAATTATGTCGAGTCGATGACATCACTGATATTCAAAATGTTGCATAAAAATAAGTTTTAAATGATTTGACCCATTCTTGCTCAGCTTGCCCCTGTGTTTTTGTGTTGTGTGAGACGGGATTTTTGAAAATGGACTGAGAACGGAGCAACTGCTCTTATTAACCCTGCAGGGAGCGTGGGTTTATGGGGAAGTGGAAGAAAACGGGGCATCCAATCTTTTTTTTTCTTTCTAGAACATCACTTTGTTCGTGAGTTACTGCTGAAACCGGTGAATTAGAAAAAGGGATGCACCTTGTGAGCAAAGTGAGTGGTTTGCTGTCTTCTTGATTTATCCTTCCACCAATTAATTTGTCATTAACGTTCCCTCTGATAACAAACTTGTGTTTTTATTTGTTATTTGTATATTGCTTTTTAACCCTTTGGGCCCTGGCGCCTCCCAATTTGGGGCCTTTGGAGTTTCATGTCCCAAGTGTCAGTGGTTGTTTGCATTCCCCGAGCACAGCTTCAGCTACAATCAAACCAGTTTAGATTGTAAACAAAGTAAATTTTGGTTTTTGACACATTAAGATAAAAAAATACTTTAACGTTATTTTAGATTAGCTGCCCTGTGTGAAAGTGCTGGCAGGATGGAGGTTGTGAGTTCAAATTCCAGTTAGGAAGTTTAGCCAATTGTTTTATTTATTCCAGGGGTCCCCAACTACATTTGTTCAAGGGTGTTTTTCCAGCAGACACCAGTGAAGGTCAGATTCTCTTCTAAAATAAAGTTCAAATATCATTGTATCTTAATTTATTACAAATTAAAATGGCCTTGTTTCCCATCTGGGCTGTTTGATTGTGGTTTTAGTTGTGTTTGGAGAATTTGGACAGTTGTAGATGTTTAGGACATGAAACTGTAGATGCCCCCAATTGGGGGGCCTTGGGGTTATACAGGTTAAGAAATGGTGCCAACCAGTGGGGTATGGATATGTGTTTTGATGCGGCCAGGGTCCGTCTATGGCTGCAGACAGAAGTAGACCACATAGCCTTACGTACATGCTTTGTGTGGACAGTCTGGGACAACAGCAGGCATTAAGTTTTTGGTTCGACAAAGCCCCGCGTCTGACCAAGGCCCTTCTTTTATCTCCAGCCCTAAAGCAACGGGATTACTCTTCCATAAAGAGATGGGTGGCAACACAGGACTGGAAATTGCCAGCTCCTGCACTTTCTTTGTCATGGTTACTCCAGCCCAGATCCTTTGACAGCCCCAAATATTGCTGCAATACCTAAGCAAGATTGAATCTGGGAAACACGAACCTAAAGGAGAAGCTTGTTGTTGAAGTATTTCTTCAATTTGGAAAAGGAAGACCTTAAGGGCACAAATTCTTCAGTTATGCAACTTGTGACGGTTCTGCACACAACGGTGTCAAAAGACCCAAATGTTGGAAGTCTTTGGAACTTTTCAATTAGAGAACGCATTTTAAATATTACTGCATACTCTTTGTGAACAGTGATGTGAATGATGACGTATGACCCCCCAAAGGGAAGCTGGTGTTGTGCACCTCGGTCTATTCATTGGCCAGGTTGTTGAGCAGGCCTTGATTGCACCTGTGGATAAAAGACCAGCTTGGTGAAACTTCACGTAGGTCACCGCTGAGTCTTCCGCATTTAACTCATTCACTGCCAGCCGTTTCCTGATCACTAACGGCCTTCGCTGCCAACGTTTCTCACAGTTTTTACTGTTTTTTTTTTAAAGAGTCACAGAATATTGCGCGCTAGCATGATGTCGATGCCAAAACAACCAAAACAAAGAGGAGACTCACCTCTTACATCAGGAAGAAGCCGCGTGTTTTGAGCGTTATCCGTTCTTTCATAATCCGTTGTCGAATTGTGATCGGCAGACGCTTTTCCGGTTCGCGCCTCACTTTTTTTTTTTTACAGGAACGGCCCAAAACGATCTCCTAACACATGGATGTGTTGCTTCCTGATCATGTGATCTGTGACGTATGCGAATGAAGATCGGCTTCAGGGCTGAGATGTTTGTTCTCTCAGTGCGGGGGCTCGTTCCGATGCTCAAACAGTAAAAAAATGCCAATTGGCATCCAACGGTTGGATCTAAAATGATGACTATAGTCGTCAATGGCAGTGAATGAGTTAATGCATGTTGCTGGCTGTGTGAGCATTTCAGATGGCCTTTTTTAAAGAGCAAGTTCACTGAGACTTTTTTTTTACCGGTTTAAGTAGGATTGGTCACTTTAGTTTTCCAGGAGCTTACACTGTTAACACCTCATACTATTTTTTTCATGAGTAAAAGTCATTTTTGCTCGTTAGGTTTTGTCGCAAACATGAACCCAAGGGTACGCTGTAATTGTTCATGTCCATGTACAGTATAAACAACACCGGTGTTCTGTATCCACAGAGGTGGAAAGATGGAAAACCTTTAAGAAAATAAACCTTTTTTTCTTTGTATGCCTGTGTAGGAGACGTCGGCCGCCAAGATGGAGGTGAAAACATCACTCCTGGACAACATGATTGGGGTTGGGGACATGGTCCTTCTGGAGCCCTTGACCGAAGACTCGTTTCTGGAGAACCTAAAGAACCGCTTTGACCACAATGAGATTTATGTAAGCAGACCTCTATTTTCTTTTTCCTTCTCCGTAGCCGTTTCTTATTTTAGCATTATTGTGACGGCGCTCACCACTGACTTCAAAGAAAAAACACAGAGGGTCGGAAGAGAAACCTGCATATGCTTTTATCTTGTCCCTCCTTTTTCTCTTACTTTGGTCTGAACTATAGAAGCAGTCGGATACTAATGTCACTGTAACCAACCACCTTTATACATCCAATTAAAACTGACTTGTGGGGCATAAAATCGGAAGCTCAGCAGCAAGAAGGGAGTCTGGCTTCTTGCCTCAAATTAGGAAAAGATTTTTTTGAACTGTCGTTTCTGCCTCAAGCAGCTGCTTTTGTGCTGTGGCACTTCTTAATTTCTTTACTCTGCAGGTGGCCGCTCCAGACGCCAGCAGAGATGATTACAGTTCTGCTCTGGCTGCCATCGGCTAACAAAGCATAGGTTTGATGTCACCGCCTTGTTGACATGCTAAGTATTTTGTTTAGAAGTGGTCTGCTTTATGGCAAGAATTGGTAAGGTTTGTTGCATTTTTAAGTCAGGTTTTTGCTTCTTTGTAATCCAAATCCAAATGTGAAGAATCTAAACTTGCTCAAGTGTTTAAAAAGCTTTTCATTTTGCACTTGTGGAAAATCTTAAAGACCAAGTTCACTGGGAGTTTTTTTAAAACTTTGCTTCTGAAATATGATCAGTCGTTAAACGTGAAAATAGTCACACTATGGGGTGGGGGTGGATAAGTGAACTTGGTCTTTAATGTTTCTGGCCTTCTCCCTTAGTTTGGCTCTGACCCCATATGAAGTGAACGTTCTGGAGTTCATCTTTAAAGCTTTTCAGTAGCATTAACTGTACCTGATGATTAATGTCCAGAAAAAAGTACTGGAGCCCATATTTGCCCAATAAATCTGTGGTGCACAAATCTTCCCCCTTTTTTTTTTAAATGCATTTTCCCTCAAGGCATCGTTCTTCGCAAATGGGCCCCACCCCCCACACCAAACTATCATATGACAGTTCACAGCTCATGAAAACGTGGCTTTGTCTTTCAGAGGACAACACATAACATATTAAATAACTGAGAAGCAAAAAGTTGCTCCGTTCCTGAGAACAAAACAAAATTTGCCCCAACCCTTTATCGTGAATAGTATTAAGAGCAGCATTCTCCTCTTCTTGCTAAATATTTAGACACCAGGAGACCGCTTGTTGATGGGTTGTGGCCTGAGCAGAGGAGATGTAGACATTTATTTTCCATTACACTGAAACTTTAGCAACTGAGTTCACTTGCTGCTTGAAGTTCATAAGCCTTCATCTAATTTTTTATTTAGACCACAGTATGCAAACACTCTTAAAGTACTCATCACCCATTTCATAAAGCTAAGGTGGGATCTCTAGTTTTAATTTAGAAACGTTTGACTCATTTTTGCAAGTTGTTTGTGCAGATAGCTCTGTTGCTCAATCTTTTCCCAGTAGGCATTTTTAGTAGCCTAGAAATCTAGACGGACCATTGCAGTTTGGTAGTCCAATCGCAGCTCTCTGTTTGGTGGGCAGGATGATGCGACTGAGTGGAACAATCAAGATGGCGACGGCTTGTTTGAAACTGCTTTGGACTGTTTAGGCTGTTCTTTGCTTGCTTTACTTAGAAAAAGAATATTGATGTCTACTTTGACAGCGTATAACTGCCACATTGAATTACATTCGTAGTGGTGAGTAGTACGTCATCTTGTCAAATAGATTCTGCTATGACGAAGCTCTGTCCATGGGCCGTGGCCAGACTATATACTCACATGTGTACAGTTAAACTCCATCTAGCCTTGATTTCATTTTTTTGTTTCTTATTGAGATTGCTTAGAAAAACATGAAATAAAAAACTTTGCGATGCTAACGGTGAGCCGGCAGCAAAAATGAAAAAGCAGTTGAAATATGAAAACATGCTGCCATGACCCTCCCCTTTAAAACAAAAACAAGTAAAGGAAACCCAACGCTTCAGATTGGTTTTGTATCGGGTTATAAGTAGCAGAAAACCAGTTTAATTCCTTTCAGTAGCGGACAAGTACTAAAGCTTTTAAATGAGGAGGGCGGTCTATTAAACACTGATTAGGAAGGGTTATTATTTTTGTCCTTTTATTTTATTCAAGATGACCTTATTACCGTTATTTGCAATGCAAACAATCCTTTCCTTTGTATGAATCCTCCACACTTTAACAGCCCTCATGCTGCCTCTGGTGTGTTGTTAAACAAGAGGCTGTGGGAGGCTGTGGTGTCGCCACAGGGAAGGCCGTGCTCCACTCCTGTCAGAGTGGCTTATGCAACAGCCATTACCATGGAGAGCAACGAGAACGCTTCAGATTGATGCTTGAAAGTGCTATTGCAGCGTAGGAGGATGATGATGATGATGGCAGGTTGAATTCCCTTTCAGATGTACCTGACGAGTGTTATTCGTTGAATTGGACCTGTTACATAAAGGTGTTCTGTTATGTAAAAAATGAAAAAAATAAAATGATTTTTACATGGTCAAGTTAGAGAAATACAAAATAAACAAACTGCCCACATGAGGAATGTCAGAGCTGAATCAATCATTTTACTAAAGGTTCCATTTAATTTACCTTTTAAAGAAAATGAGTGGCTTAATAACTTCTGCGCATTAGCAAACCGAGCACAGTGAATGTGTGGAAAGGTCTAGCAAAAGCAGCCGTTTTGGAAAAGGCATCTTTAGTAATCCAGAACGGCTGTGGAAGTGTCCTCCGACATTTTAACTAACCTTTTTAAACAGACTGGTGCTGAGGAGATTCAAAAGGAACTAAAGGACTGCCAGTTGACTGGCATCGGGTCTCTTCACAAAGATTAGAGGAAACTGTTCTGTGCAGTGAGGTTGATGTTGGTTAACAATTACAGCCATCATCTGTGTGGGTCTTCATAGAACAGCGACTTTTTATATGCGACCTGAGAATCTGCAGGGATTATTTTAAAGCAACTGTTGCACAGAGCATTAAAACAAACTCTCAAATATCAATCGTGCATGTTTTAATTATTGTTAGCACTGCTCAGATTCCCACGTTTTTCCACAGAATTTCATGTAAAATATCACTCAATGCAATCATATTTTATTTGTACTTGTGCTGTTTTCACTAAGTCATGTGATTTATTTATTTATTATTGTTTTCTTTTTTTTTTTTTTTTTTGCTTGGTAGGTGTCTAGCTGCGTGCTGTAAGGACGGTGTACATTAACTACAATGGGGACATTTTTACTAAACAAGTTGTGTCAAATAAACAAACGTTTCTCAGACTGGACCTTAAAGGGACTTTACGGACTTTCGAATTTTTATGCTCGCGATTGCCCCTCAGGCCAAAAGCATAACGGCAGCTTCAATAGTAGGCTCTTGCACGAGGCGCGCATGCTGTACGTGCACACTCCTTAACGAAAATAACAGCTGAGACAGTCCCGTGTGTGTGTGTGTGTGTGTGTGGCCCATAGGACAGAGGACAGGAGAACGCGTAATTCATTAAGTAATTTGGTTCTGTACCTTTCTCTTCAGCACAGCCAACAAAGGTTTATGATGGGTCAGTCCTCCTGCATGCTCAGATCATTCCCTTCCCTTGCTTGAAAAATTGTTCCAAAATGAAAGTTGAACCCACATCTTTTTTATCTGCGAATTCAACGCCGTTCGGCGAGTCTCAAATAAAAAATTGGGCATCTTACTGTAAAAAAAAAATACCATTAATGTAAAAAAGAAACTATATAAACTATGTTCACACCCAGAATTGATCCCAGGTCTTCTTCACGAGAGTCAGATGTCTTACTAGGTGAGCTAAAGTGTCAGTGACGTCTTTTGTATCTGTAACATTTATATCCTTGATGACAGCTGAAACAACGTTCAAAGAACGGTTCGGAGCGAAAATAGCTATTGTGTTGCTAATTAGCAGGAAATATCTAGAAGAAAGTTCTACAGAAGTAGCTAAGGGTCCTCAGAAATGTAGCTAGCTTTGTCACTAGGCGTTAGGAACAGCGACAAAGTGGCACTGCCTCACTCTCTGCTGCTAAAGCTACGGATAGCAAATACGGGCAATGCCTGAGCGTGAACGTGCATGAAGCAGCCTGCTCGACCCGAGCATCTCTCTTTTTCTGTGATTTTACAGAAAAACAGGCAATCACAGTAAAAATGCCAGGGCTCATTCTACAGGACCAGGGCATTGCAGGAGAATGTATGATGAAGACATTTATTATTTCTATACATGTTTTGGCTGTCAAACTTCCATAATGCCCCTTTAAGGTATATCATATTTTGACATTTTGAGAGAGAGAAGTAGCTGAAGAGTTCGATGTATAATATGTGGGGATGTCCCGTTCCAATATCAATATCGGAAGTAATTTGATATTGGCCCAAAAACACTGTCTGATTATATCGTGCTTCATAAAAAATCTCCGATATAAGCAGATCGTTAAGGTTTGTACTTTTGCAACCAATGGTTATAAAGTCATTTTTCTCACATTTGCTGATATTGGCACTTGTTCTCCGAGTAATATCACTTGATCAAGCATTTCATACATTCCACACTACAAAAAAGGTAAAACTATGTATGATTTGTGCTGAAATCGTATGGGGTTGATATCGGTATCGGTCAATACTGAAGGCTGCAATATCAGTATTGTATCGGAAGGGAAAAATATTGTATCAGGGCATCTCTAATAAAGTTGCTAACCCTCCTTAAGGCATATTGGGTCATGGACATTTATTTATTTGAGATGCGATCCAGTTGCCCATGATGTCTCTGGCTGTTCAGAGGAAAAACTGTCTTTTACAAGGCCTTGCAACCTGCATGAGGAAAACGCGTACCCTCTCAAAGATTCAGTCATTTTTGGAAAGTCCCTTAGAAAAGCCGTTGAGTGTGTTGCCAACAATCTCATCCCGATCAGATACAGACATGTATCTGTTTTGTTTTATGCTGGTTATAAATGACGTTTTAAACCTTCTGCACCTTTTAAACTCTGCTGTCTGCATATACTGTCAAGTCCAGATTCCTCAAATTTCACTTTGTTTTTGCACGTTTTCAATTTTACTTAAGGCATTGCATGCTTCAACAGCTCTGGGAAATGGCACAGTTCCTGCATCCTCATTAAACATGGCTTATAAAAGGACATGTGTGGTAAAAGAAAACAATTTGTCTGGTGTGAGCAAAGCAGAAAATGTGCCACCTATTCACATGGTTTCCTCTCATCTTTCCTCTCTACAGACATACATTGGCAGTGTGGTGATCTCCTTAAACCCTTACAGGTCCCTGCCCATCTACACGCCAGAGAAGGTGGAGGAGTATCGTAACAGAAACTTCTATGAACTTAGTCCCCACATGTAAGTTCACCTTCCCGGTTGTTATGTTTTTTATTTTGTATAAACATGTAATGCTCTAAATGCTGTTTAAAACTTAAGTACTGAAGACGTGGTGTAGTGTGGGTTTTAGATTAGAACCTGTCGTGAGAATTTGGGAGTGGCTCTTGATGAGTGTCTCTTGGAGGATTGGGTGTGTAAATGTGATGAGCAGGAGCTGTCAAGTAGAAAGGATGCAGTGTATTTTAGAAATCTGTAAGTCATCACTCCAAGAAAGTGACTCATGCAGTTCAGTTTTGGAAGGGTGTTGATCAGAAGGACACAGTCTGTGTGGAGAGCCATAAGGTCTTCTGCTGGAAATTCAGTATAGCACACCATCTGTCCATTAGCAGCTTTAACTCGGCATTGCTTCAAGTCAGCCAATGCAGAACAAAGCCCAGTGCTCGTCGTTTAGCCCGCCATAGCTCTAGGCTTGCTGCAACCCCATCAGAGACGGACTACAAAGTGAGGTACCCTTGCACTGGCAAAACACCCTGTAGATAAAAAAAAAAAAGCTGCTTGGCTTTACTTTACAGCCATCAACTCCATCACTGAATTTAAGCCTGTTTAATTCTGATCTTTCATTTTGTGGATTTTATTCTTAACTAGCTGTGAGTGGATAAAATATTGGTCGCTTATGTTTTGAGATTTGTTGTTTAATCCCAGTTCCAAAATAGGAATCTGTCAAAATAATGTACATCTCCTGGAAAATGTTGCTGTTTGGCTGCAGACAATTACCAGTGGTCATTTCAAAAGAGATTATTGGGATTATCCACCTTTTTGTTGTTGTGGGATGATTTGTCGTCATTTGGGCATGAGGTAAAATAAGGGCGGACAAAAACAACATGTCTAAGCTTAAAGCTGTTGTAAAAAATCTGCAAACAAACTAGGTTTCGAATGCAAACACAGTCACTGAACACTTAACCTTGCCCTTGGTCGTCTTCCCTGAGAAACCTGCTGGAACTGGAAATCTGCAATGCCTGACTAAACGAGGTGGTGCTAAACACCAGTCGCCATTTTCTAGTTCCAAATGTCTTTTGTTGTCCGTGAATTCAAATGGTGTTTTTCTTTTTGGAACTCTGGTAGCTTCTCCTAAAGTTGAAGTGATAGCAGTCGGCTTCTTTGTTGGTATTACGCCGCGAGCCTCACACATGGTCTGTTGCTAAATTAAAGGTTTTTGTGCATTTTTTCTAAAAATTTCCACCAATAAACACATTTTGGATCTAAAGTAACCACTGGACCATTGGTTGTCGGTCTCACCCAACTGCCGCACTTACAGATTTACCTGGGTCCTCCACTCAATACGCACTTGTGCGTTCTGCAACAGAACACCGCTCGAATGAGAGGTTCTCCGCTCAGTATCAGAAGGAGAAACAGCTGGCTGCTACCTCTTTAACTTCAGGACTAACTACTAAAGTCCCAAGAAGAAGAATACCATTTGAAGTCATGGGCAACAAAAGACGTTTGGACCTAGAAACTATGACTGGTGTTTTTTGCTTTCATTTAATGTGGCAATGCAGGTTGCAGCATCAGGTGGACTTGGCCTATGAATGTTTGCCAACGGGAAGGGTGAGTGTTCTGTAACTGCGCTTGTGTTTAAAAGCTTGTTTTGCAGATTTCTTGTTGCAGCTTTAAAAACGTAGATCTAGTTATCATTTTAAGGCTCTTTGTGAATATTGCAGTTTTTATATGGAAAGTCAAAGGTCTAGTATGCATGTTGTTTCAGGGAAATAAGTAATTTGCATAAAAATCATCAATTTCCCCCTGTAAGCTTAAGCTGTTTCTACTGAACTTGGAAAACTGGAGAAATAAACTTTTAGGTTTGTGCCATTGTGTAACCCTGTAAAAATGTCATGTTAGGGCGGAAAAAGCTGGAATCTAAATAATCTTTTTGTAAGTAACTAAAATACAGGAAGACATAGGCTCCAAGTTGCAAAACCTACATGAAAGTTTTTTTTTAATTCCACTAAAACATCCCACATTATACTTGTCTAAAGTTGCTTTATTTCAAAAACAAATCCTACAAATAAATTGGGAATGGCCCCACATTAAACATCAGTTTCTATTCCTTTGTCAAACGGATAAAAAAATGGAAACAATTGAGATTCAAACTGGCTAACATGAGCTTACTATTAATCTTGAAGCAGTACAAATTTTGCCCCAGTTATTCTGAAAGGCTCTTATGAATCTAAAATCAGTCAGATTATCATGCTACATGAGTTGATCTTCTGATTTGAGCATCTGGACCAAGCATCATGAATTTGCATGAACTCCTAAGTAATGTTGAACCCTTTGTGTGGTCAAATGCATCAAAGTTGTCAACATTCCTTTTTATATTAGCATTTTTACACTGTAGTAAATCTTAAGAATGTAACCTAAGGTGTATTGCACTATCGTTTTCTTACTGCTGCACACTGATGGTTTTCTGTTTTATTAAAAGGTTGGATGAAGGTGATTAGTGGTTTGCAAACTGACCGAGTTTAATTTGAATACATTTTACTTGGTTGGTATTCAAAGAAGAGTGGATAGTGTTTCACAAACACAAAACAAATCTCCATTCTCACACCAGAGTTCAGGTAATCAGTATAGAAACGGTTCTTGTTTTAAACGATGCTGTCTAGAACTGACCTCACCATCCTGCCGAAGTTTGGTCTTTTCAGCCAAAACGCTGCAGTTCCACAGCTCAACAAAGCCAATGCTGCTATGCTTGAGTTTTGAGCAAGGAGAAGAAAAATATTTGAGCCATAATTTTAGTTTTAGCTGAATTGTACGCTTGAGAAAGCGGCTTGAGCCACATTAATGGACTCTTGCCACTGTTGGCCGAGTCCACTGTCCAGTCTTCTTATTCTTCATAACGTTTCCAAACCAGAGAAGCTCCTGTTTTTTTAGAGTCCTGTTTTTTTGCATGGCTGAGCTTTAACTAGCTCGGGGGCATATTACCGCAGAGACTGGACAGTGCTGAAGTGGATCACTGTTGGGTTTTAATTGAGGCAAGTACATGGGGGTGTTGGGCTTCTTCCTTTTCCTGTCTTTGATCCTAATTAAACACTTGTTAAACTATAAAATCAGTAGTTTCCAACACGTTACCACAGACTAGGTCAATACTTTTGAGATTCCCTCAAAGTTGTGTTAAGCATTTGAACTCACAGCTGTACATTCTGCACTGGAACAGAGGCTGGTCATCACCACATCTGCAATATTCACATTGTTCTATCATGCATTCTGGTTTTAAAATGCACAACTTTCTATGTATTAAACAGCTGACGACGTAAGACGGTAAAAAAGTGACACTTGGTTGGTTGGGTTAACTCTTCTGGAGCAGTAATGAAGCCATTTGTTATTGTTGCGACTCTCTGTTCTAATTTACACACAAACGAGTGTTTTTGCACATAAAAATGAAAATGCTCACAGGTCTTCTGGCAGTTTTGGGTCCGACACCACGTGCAAGTATTTTTCATAGGAGCATTACCTAATTCTACCATTGGATACGGTCTTTAGATTGAGTGTAGCTCACATTTAATCATGTAGTAGATGTAAAAGTGAGTTGCATATAATGGATTTACACGGAGTTTACTGAGATTGCACATACTTGTACAATAATACTTATGCATTGTTTTCTGCTTTTACATCTGTTTTGTGTCTGCAAAGTTGTAGGTGAGCTGCAGATGTATGTATTGCAAGAAACTGAAGTATCTGGCGATGTATCGCAATACAAGAGAGAATATAAAGTGTTGCGATACTAAAAGCCAAAACAAATTTGCGATTTTAGCCCCATTGGCTTGATTCATTTTTCGTGCAGAAGTAGGTGGGCGTGACATAGGCCTAGTCCACACGTAGCCGGGTTTTTTAAAAAACGAATATCCGCCCCTCCAAAACTTGCATCCACACCACCTCGTTTTAAAAAAAAACTGTCCACACGTACCCGGATAAATACGTTGTTAAGGACATGCCAGACCTGTAGGCGGCAGTACTTCCCCCGTTCTTAACCTCGTCCTTCGTCTGTGGTCTTCTGCAAGGAGCAGTAATTCCGCTTGCAAAAACAAACAAGCAAAAAGCGCTTGGACAATTGATAAAGCGAGCGCAGCTCTGAGGGCATCCATGCTGTCGGCTAGTGTAAACACAGGTCGCACACGTGATGTCAGCATTTTTTTGTCGCGGAAAGTGACGTTGCGGACCTTAAAACTCCGGTTTTGTCCGTCCACACGCAGACACCCAAAACGGAGAAAACACAGATCTTCACTTTGGCCGGAGTTTTTAAAAAGATCTGTTTTCGTGTGAAAAAACTCTGTTTTCGTGTGGATGACAGGCCAAAACGTAGAAAAATATCTACGATTAGGCAGATCCCCGGCTACGTGTGGACAGGGTCTTAGGCTCCCTATTGTCGCCATGTTTGTTTTTGTTTGTATCCTACAAAAGCTGCACTCTGTCCGGTCTGAGTTCTGTAATCTGCCCGCTAGCTGAGTCCTCCAGTAAAGCATGCAGCAAGATGCAGGCCAACCCTTTTGCCGCATGATTAATTCTGCTGCATTTTACTTTTTACCATTCTTACTTGTTCTTGTTTTAATTACTTGACTACTTTAGGTTGATTTGAGTTGGTATACGTTTTTAAACAGCTCCACAGCCACACCCATCAATGCTAGTCTGCAGTTGATGTTGCTACTGCTCGTTGTTTTACCAGAGTGCTCTCTGACTGAATGAGGCACCTCCGTAATTGACCAGCAGGTGTTTTTTTTTTCTTTCTTTTTTTTAACCTCCCCTCTAATTTCTAAACACAGCCAGTGCATTATAGAAGAACTAATCTGTTTCTGTCACAGATGGCCATTATCGTCTTTTGTATGTTGACTGCCACCCAGTTCAGACACAGATTGTGCATGTGTGCAGTTTCCTAACCCCGTGTCTCTTGGGTGGGATCGTGTTTTCTCAATGTTTAATGAGGTATTGGGACCCCTGATGCTCTCAACACTCAATACTTAGTGCCGCTAGAG